TGTAAAGTTACATTACAATTTCGTAAGTTACAATGTAATTTACATGAAACGTAACAAAGTAATTTATGTAATACATCTCTAACTACATTGTGACAACTTTAAAGCTAATTGTTTACTAATTTAACAAATTAATAAGCTATTAAATATATGGATCAAGTTTCTTATACATGGCATCATATATTTAAAATTTAGTAGCTCTAAGTATCTTTTTTAATTTTTTAGAATTTTTAAAAACTAGCATTTGTTTCAATTTTTTTATTAGTAAGTTTTTATAGTAAAAAACCAAATATAGTTTTTTTAAATTTTTAAACTTAAATTATATTTAATATAGATTGGTTTATTATAAAGATTTTAATAAATTACAATAAGAAAGTTTATTTTTATAATTTTATATAAAAATTTTAACAATTTATTTAATAAAATATTTTTAAATTCTTTGTAAAAATAAACAAATACTATGCTATACCAAACATGGTAATGATTTTCAATTTATATCTAATAATAAAATATTATTTTTATTAAATAAATAATTTTTAAAATTATGATATTAAAAGTTTTTAAAATTCTTTATATAGTCAAACTTTAATGTGAGACTTTTTAAAAATTTGGATTGTACATGTTGTGCATCAAATTAAGATCAAGATCATTATAATTCCACTAATACCTAACATAGAAATCCCTAATAAACCTCCACATTTAAGGTTTGATCTGATGCAAATTTTAATCTAATGCACGACATATATAAATATATAAATGCTTTGTACTTATCATTTTAACCACAGTTTTAAATTAATTAACCATTTTGACTTGATATATTCCATCATAATTGTCCAAGTCTGTAAATACACTGTCTTTTTGCCGATTATAATTATTATTTTTTTTCTTTAATAAATGTGTTGCATGCCAAAAGTATTTTTGACGATGATGCTACAATTCATAACGGTAAAACATTAAAACATTATTGGTATTTCAAATCTCGATCTCAATTTGAAATTCAAGTTATCAAAAATGTAATCATTATTGCCCAACCAGATGACAAATGACTTTATTAAAAAAGCACAATGAAATTCATATGTGAATCTGTTCACTATCGTTACAGGTTCTACCTCATATAACTAAAATATTACATCTCTAAAGGAAACAATGCTATTCGAACTACCGTAAATGGCAGATAAACGACCTGGGTCTCTTACATTCCACCGATTTTAAAACCTATAATAAACCCGGGTATAATACATGGTTGAGAGTTTATATCATTAAAAGATTTTAAAGAGGATGCGTATTTTCATTTTTAACGGGCAGGTTTAAATATTTGAAAAAAAAACTATATTTTTATTAATGCAGATTTTGTAATTCGTAATACATAGTGGTTCTGATGTTGTGAGATCTTTTATCCGGCACTTTACGTCTAAACATAAAAAATATAATAATGGTACCATACATCTATTCATAATATAAAAGTACGAACCCTTTCCACAACAAACTTTCCCCAATCATCACCATTAATATCATCCCCGCTGGTATTCGATTGTCAATATTCATCATTTATCAATTTCCTTAACATTATAAACAGTACTCAATGATGGTTGCTTAAGTGTTTCACGGCATAATTTAAATGAGCTGATCATCCTGTATAAATCATCGAATTTTTCGAAATAGTTAAGATGTAGTCTTGGATTATTGAATGGATAGTTGTCATTAAGTTCAAGATTACAACACTTGATGGGATATAAGAACTGTCTACATAATAATTCCACTGATTTTATGATCTAACAATTCTTTTATAAAACCGTCTCGGAATGGCGTCATTGTTTATATAATACTATACTAAATAAACCTATTTATATAAATATATGCTTTAACTAAAACATATCAATAACCTTAATGTCTGGATTCTTGTCAAAAAAGTCTTCTTTGCAATGAATCTTCAACATTAGCTTTCATTAACTTTCATTAGCTTTATGTATTATCCCAGTTTCAGATCCACTATTCCAATGGTGAATTTCACCTGGATTTGCTTTTGCAGCAAATAAATATGATGAATAATCCCAAAAATTTCTTCCAACTGGCAGTTCTTTACGCACTTATATATTATTTGCTTCAAGATTTTCTTTCGGTCCAATACCAGAAATCATCAATATCTTTAGAAAAAAGTAATTAAAGTAGATTTACTATAACATACAATTACTGTAATATTATCATTATTGTTAATTTTTCTTATTCTTACCTGAGGGTTATTAATTTCACCACAAAGAATGAATTCATCTTTTGGTCCAATAAAAAGTCTCATGTACTGTACTATCTTACACCGATCGCAATATTTTCTTTTTCATTCTTTTCGTCCCCAATAATATCTAACACATGGGCATATGATCTAATATCTACGGCAATAACTTTTCCAAATTCATATAGATCTGAACCTAAATGTAATTCGACTTTTTTTAGTGCATCTTTTAAATAGCATTCTGCCAAAGAACACCTTCTTCCCTCTTTATTTGTAAACTATAAGTGCAATTCACTTAACATATTATGATTTTAGTATGTTAATTTTTTAAAAAAAACTATGTATAGTATATGCGAATTTATTATTTCAAAAACCTGGTATGTCCAACTCAATTTTGTCATTCACCGTTGAAATCTTCATTAGAAGCAATTCCAAGGCTTTTCGCAGAATCAATAAAACCTGGCATAACATTGTAAATCCCGTTATGACAGTCTTGCATGTGAAACCATTAAATCCATGTAATTGTTTAAATTTCTCATCCAGTTTCTCTCTTTGAACGCATTTTTTCATTTTTTAAAAAAAAAAGAAAGAAATACACTTGACCCTCGCTAATATCAACCCATTTGGATCATTTTTATATTCATATTGATAGTGATATTAGTAAAGGATCATAGTAAAGTTGATATTTATGAGGGAATTTTAATATATAAAAATTTATAAAAATTTGTCTTGTGGTTTAGGTTGATATTGACGAAATTGAGGTCACCTGTACTATCTAACAAGACCAAAGTTTCTGAATTGGTAGGCTTCGATTGAGGCATGGTTGGATTTGGTTCAAGTTTGGAGATTTAGGTCTTGCGAGTTGGTTACTGAAACTTGGATAAGTGTCTTTTTGCTTGAAATGTGTAGTTTCGCACTGGTATAGTGCCTTAATATTAATGTCTTTGCTATATTCTTTCTCCATTTCAGGTATACTGCGTATTCTCAGGTCACGTGGTCACAATGGATACCCTTATATTTGGTCAAGAATAAGAGAAGTAATAATATGTCAAGCGAAAATCGGGCCCTTCCGATCCAAATACTTAGGTTGGAGTATCTCAAGTATTATACATAAGTCCGATATAAGTAGGTAAGGGATATATGTAAATTTTAATGCTGTGCATTTTTAATTAGAAGCCAGTTGTTGATTAGCATAGTAAAATTTGGCTCTATTTAGAATTTTTCACTTTTTGCTGTTTTTTGCACTTGTTTTTGTTACACAAGATCCTGAGATTTTATTGGTTCTGGGCCAAAAATTTTAGGGATTGAGGTTGATTTTCGCTTGACATAAGGGTACTCGGTCACAATCGATCTCGAATTACGCATGTATTGTGGATTTAATCACAAAAGTAATCAGTAGATTTTCTATAAAAAGGAGTTTATTTACAACCGTATAGCGCTGCATATAGTACCCCTGGAATAGTATCCCCTTTTTTGAAGCAACGTATATAATTACAGAATTATCAGTAAGGGAACTGACATTTATTACGTGCGTAAATATAACCCCATTCAGAGTCAGCCATTTGATAATTACAAATTCTAAAGTAATCATAGTGTAAACTTTATATTATTGGTTATTTTAAAGCTTGCAATTGTCAAACGATTGATTATTTTAGAACTTGTAATTGTGTCAAATTACTGACTCTGAGTGGGTTATATTTACGTAATAAGTATCAGCTCCCAAATCTTAACCAATTCTTTTGTGTTTATATTGTTTATATTGTTTATATTGTACGTACCCCGGATAGAAATCTGCCCGATTCTGAAAAGTTTGAAGCAAATAAACTTCGATATTACTAATATATGAGTGCTGCAAAGCTAAAACCTGCAATTTCGGTTTTTGCTGGCTCCGCTTTTCAGAAACAGCGATCAGATTCCTGATGAATTATAATAAATTCTATAATAAATTCTGTTTAATGGATCATGTGTCTGATAAGTCGTTTCTATAAAATTGATTTCGGAAAATTCACAAATGTTGGTTTTAGCTTTGCAGCACTCATATGTAACCGATATAATTTATGTTTAAAAGGCTATATATGCATATATATGTAGTATTTAATTCAATAGCTCTACAAAATTTTACTTGAATAACATAATTTGCAGTTATTGGGTGCGAAGCAGCCAATAACGAGAAATAATTGTAAAATAATTCATTATCTGACTGTGAAATTTAATATGTCAGCTTCTGGGTCCCGAAGGGGCCCAGAAATGACACATATTAAATTCGCTGCCAGATATTGCCTACGTAGCATACAATAACGGTGTTGTCCGGTGGTTTGCAACGAACTGTGCTTGCTAAATAACTCGAGTTTTTGGCAATGATTATGTAAGCTGCCAATAACAAAGGTATTTAGTAGGTAACGTAATCATTGCCAAATAAGTATACATTATCTTAAGTCACAAATCAGGAACACGGAAATTATGCAATTTGTTTTAGTGAGATTCTTGACAGGATTCTCATATGTCAAGCAAAATCGGTCCCTTCACTCCTATCTGCGATAACATTAGAAATTTTATAATTTTTGACATAAAATAACACTAAAATTTGTTCTGCGCATTTTTACTTAGAGGTCAGGAGGCAGTCAGCATAGTAAAATTTTGTGTTAGATATAGCACCTTGGTTTTTCGTTGTTGTTATTATTACACAAAGATCTTGCAATTTGATTGGTTCCGAACCTATGTGGAGGGTGTTACCCAAAATTTCTGCGTTTTGTGATCTTTGACATTTATCTGTACTTTTCACGGCTATATTCAACAACATGATTATTTACTACATTTTCGCATATAATTACTACATTTTTTACTTGTCACCACATTACTGACATGGACTTTCAATTCTTTTCATTACTTCATTTTTGTAATAATTATGCTAAATTGCTTGTTTTATTCTCACTGATAACAGGATAATAGCTAGCATGTACTCCAGGAACCCAAAAATATATAAAAGGGTATAATCTTCATT